GTTGCTTAGGCTCCAAATAGAGGGACAGAAAGCTCTCGGATTTCATTCAAAATATCTATCAAAATATATCGGAACTGTGTTCCAAGGATGAATGAAAATCTTAGGGGATTGGAACAATTTGTGGATTAATAATTAATAACAGAATTTTTATTTTTGGAAGAACTATCCATTTAATTGTATCACAGGCTTTATGAAGAAACAATAAATGTATATTACAGTGTTTACCTAAACCTAGGACCAGTGTGTCCACTAAAGTTACGTGGATGATCCATTGACCAGTCGCTCTTCATGGACACACAGCTGGGTTCAGATGACTCTGGTCTGTGCTTCTGGACTGAACTGAAACAAAACATGAAGGAAAATTTAAATCAGACACTGTGAACATGACTGATTATTAACTCTTTCCCCGCCAGCATTTAAAAAAAAAAAAGTTGCCAGCCACCGCCAGCGATTTTCACTAAAATTTGATGGCCTCCAGTATATTTTGCTATATGAATATTTGAATATGCAATACACCAAAATAAAGATCAGAGCCTCTACTTTTAAACAAAAAAATCCGTTTTATTCTAGCTTAAAGCATTCTTTTTTTTAATCAACACTTGAATATAGGCAGGTTTCATAAAAATGCATAATTTTTTGCAAAAAGGTGAGAAAATCACATTTCTCCGTCCTGTTCTGTTTTGTTCTGGAGGTTTTGTCCTCGTTCAGAAGATGTGTAATAGTGCCCCCGAGTGTATAACAGTGAAAACACGAAAAGCCGTAAAAACTCGTTTTCGGCGTGGAAGTTTTCTTCTAAAATACGAGATAACTCGTCAATGGCAGGGAAAGAGTTAATTAACTCAATATTTATGCTAAATGAAGGATTCACTGTAAGTCATTCTCTGGAAATCAGGACATTTGTTCCTGAAAATTTGAGATTGTGGGGCATTTCACTACATCCTCAATAAAAAAATCACTTTTAATTTTATCACAGGCTTTATGAAGAATCAATAATTGTTTATTACAGTGTTTACCTAAACCTAGGACCAGTGTGTCCACTAAAGTTACGTGGATGATCCATTGACCAGTCGCTCTTCATGGACACACAGCTGGGTTCAGATGACTCTGGTCTGTGCTTCTGGACTGAACTGAAACAAAACATGAAGGAAAATTTAAATCAGATGCTGTAATCAGGGTGGACATAACCAATAAGTAGGAAAGCTGTTGCTTAGGGCCCCAGGGGGGCCCCCACATTTGGCCACAACTGCCCCCACATGGTAATACAGCTTTAGAACAACATCAGGTTGACTACTGTAATGTGAAGGGGTAAAGAAACTTTAAGCAAACAAGGGTTACAAAAGTAAAAGAACACATAGGTTACTGTAGCTGGGACCTGGAATTTGCTTAGGGCCCCCAATGAAATCACTAAGTCTGCCCCTGACTGTGATAATGATTGATTGTTCATTCACTGAATATTTATGCTAAATTAGTTAAAATGATTCTACCATAATTCATTCCGAGGAAATCACAGAATGGTGTAATTTGTGCATGAAAATCTTTACCAACTTTATTTGACCAACTTAATTCTTCACTCAAAATACCAAATATTAGAAATGAGGATACATAAGTTTGTGGTAGGTTCAAACACCCTCGGTAAAATCAATATCAATAACCCAAGACTAAAAATAAAAAATAATAGCCTAAACTAGCAAATATCATCACACCACACCACATTATTTACAGTCAGTATTCCTTCCTGTCAAGGCAGTTTATATTGTGCTGATAAACCTAGAAAATTTCAATCATGTTGTAAAATCCTGTAAATGTCTGAATACTCGAACTACTGTTTTTTAAAAGATTGTCACAGCACAACACCGTCTGTCTTTCTTTCTAAGGCGGAAGTGGCCTTCTGAACGCAAATTCATGTCTACTTTAACCATTAAAATCGTGTATAAATAACAATTATACTATATTAATTATAATTTGCAAAACAACTGTCCAAAAACACGACGGGATTGGATACAGCACCAGGTAGAAATGCACAAAATTAAAATATAAGCGATTATCTCGCTCACGATGTTGTTTCGTCACTGTATCTTTAACACTCACCTCTGTGGAAATGCATCTGAGGATGTGTGGTCTTCATAATGTCGATATCTTTGAGGTTCCATCAAGAAAATCTAAAAGAAGGAAACTCAACACTTTGATATTTGTGTTAAGATGTTTTTGCTTTCATAATACAGGCCGATGGATTTTACTTTCACTTTGACTTTTTTTTTTTATGGGGGGGGGGACCCCGGGGGGGACCCCAAAAACCTTTACAAAGAGAATTTACATCGTATTTGTTATACCTATTGCTTTCAGATAATTTATAATTGCATAATAGACTTTATACTGTGCGGAGTCATTCTCCTACGGTCTACTCTAAAGTGTTACATTTTCAATATTATAAAAAAATGAATTCTTCTGTTATTGAATTTGTTCTTATTCATATGCATATACACAATTTAATAACACATGTTCCACTGTCTCTGGTAAAGCACATTTATTGCAATTACCTGATTCATGTTTGCCGAAAATAAATAGTGAATGATTAACTCTGGTGTGGTGTTCATATTTTTGTTACTCAGCCAGTGTTCGTTGGTCTGGTGCAGTTGTGGGTTTTTAATTCAACACTATCAAAAATTATATGTTAAAATACTCAACAGATGTTTACTTCAACCCAATTACAAGCAATATAAACAGTATATATGATCAAAATTTGCCCTTTCCCTTTGTTAGAGCACATTTATGAATTAAAGTGCTACAACCTTGTGCGGGAACGGCAGGGGCAGAAACAAAACTCACACTTACACTCTTACAGACTCTCTCTCTCACACACACACGCACATACACACACATACCCATACTAATAGCAGGCCCAGAAAGTAGGAGGACAGAGTGAAGACCTAAAATTCCCACTCTTTTATTAGCCACGGGTCCAGTGGACCCGAACATGCTGAATGTAATATAAGTGTGTAGGGGGGGTCTACAGTGTGTGGTCATTGAAAATGTGTTCTATGTTCTTCACAGAAAATGAGCTAAGACCAATGAGTCTGAATTTGAAAAAATAATTAATAGTATCATTTTTCATTTGATAAAAAGTGAAAACGGGTCCCACAGACCCGAACACCATACAAGGGTTAAAGGGTTAGTTCACCCAAAAATGAAAATTAGCCGATGAATTACTCACCCTCAAGTCATCCTAGGTGTATATGACTTTCTTCTTTCAGACGAATCCAGTCGGAGTTATATTAAAAATTGTCGTTGATCTTTCAAGCTGTTTAATTGCACTCAGCGGTTGTTGCATGCATCAGTCCAAAATAAGTGAAATAAAGCGCATACATTCATAATAAAAAGTGTCTCACACGGCTCCGGGGGGTGAACAAAGTCCTTCTGTAGTGAATCGATTTTATTTATAAGTTTATTTTTCTTGGCCATTTGATCAGAGTCCTCATTTCCCTCTATCCCAACATGTGCCCGTAACCATAAGAATGATATACTTAATCTATATTGGTGAATTCTGAACATGCTTTATAGAATATCATACAAGATGTCTTGTCTAGATGTAGACTTACCACTAATAACAGAATATGATCTGAACAAATGACTGTTCTCAAATGACTGAATTTTCTCCATCCAGTGAAGAGTCATCAGAATAACCTCTGCTGAGTAAACTGATAAATGGTTACTTGTCCTTTTAGCAATTCTAGTTTTAAAATGAGGAAGGCATATTGAAGCTGCTGTATGTCCTGAATCAGGTCTTTCCATCCATCTGCAAATATTTTAATTTCCTGACTATAATTTTGATCCATGTATATTCTGTACAATCTCATTCTTAGGCAGTAGCGTGTTTAGCACGACGCGGCAATTGTAGAACGCAGCCCCTCTTTTATTAAAAGTTCTCTGCATCTTCTCATTTCATCAGAAATATTGCAATTACTGCAAAAACACTTTAACAAAGGTTTGTGGCAACACCTCAGTATCAGTATCCGTTGTTATTGGCTTTTCTTCACTTATTATTATTGGTATGCTGTTATATTTTTGTATTTGTATGTCACCAACTTCTATTTTCCACCAATATTATCATAGAATTTTCTCCAGTAATCTCTTTTACATGCTCGTATAACTTTCATTACAACAGCTTGTGCTCTTATAATTAATTAGATCATCAAAAGAGAAAGACCTTCTGACCTTCAGATAGCATCACTGCATTTGTCTGTCCACCATGGCACTGCTTTCTTTCCTTTCATTCCTTTCTTTTTACCAGTAACTTCTTTTGCCTATATCATATAATATTTAAACTAATTGTTTAAATATTGTCACTCTTTTCATCGCTTTTGCCAGCTCTGAAACACTTGCTTGGTTTTTCACCTGCTCTTTTTCTAGCAAAAATAAATAAAAAATAAAAATACTCATCACAAAATGAAAGCTAAAAGTGAAAGTCTGATTGTATCAGGGGCTTTGACACAAGTCTATTGTTTTTGAATTTCTGTGTTACTTATGCTACATTTTCATGCTTAAAACAATGATTTGGTATCACTTTTATACCATTCTCCTCTTTTGTGTAAAGAAATAAGTTTCCTGATGATTCTCTCCCAAGTGCTTCCATTGTTGTCACCATTAAGAATGATTCAATGGGCTAAATAACTTTTAATTGTAAAGAAATTACTTATTTTTAAATGTTTTGGTTCAACACAGTTAGCAATTGATTTTTAAAAAATGCCTTTAACTTGAAATGTTTTATTTAGTTTTATTTACAAAAACTGACAACACAGTTACTGCAGTTTCTCTGGGAAAAAAAGATCAGTAAAACAACATTATACGAGTTTAAATGGAAAAGCATGATGAACAGGATGAAGATCGAAAACCAAACGCTTTTCTTTAAAACAGAAAACACTGAACTGCAGTTTCCTATAAAAGGACAAAGAGAAAACATTGTTATATATAAAGATATGATACATTTGTACGTGTGTCGATACTCACATGGAGGAGACGGCGTGGCTCTCCCAGTACAACACTTTATACACAGACTCTGCACACACACACGCCTGGGTCAGCAGCTCATCTACTCGTTTCAGCCTGTAACACACACAAGCCTTCATCTTCATCATCATCAGTGCTGCCGTCAGCACTCAAACTTTCTCAAACGTCACTCACATGCCCTTGACCTCCAGCATGGCCTCCTGTTTGCTCATGTGGACCGTCTGCAGGTCTCGCCGCTGCACCGCATAGTGCTTCTTCTTCTGAACCGCCACCTCGCAGCTCGCGCCCTGGCAACGGTTGCCGAGGTACCCCAGCACAGCCGGAGCAGAGACGGCCAGCAGCAGCAGAGAGAGCCACGCGCCTGAGGACATTTAACCCAGGAGACACTCAGTTACATCACATCTGTACAGAATATATGCACACGGCATCTACTCGCTTCTCACCTTCACTCAGAGTGAGGAAGAGGATGCTGAGCAGAACGCAGCTCAGCAGGGAGCACAGCGGCATCCTCCACCTAGAGCAAAAACACAGCCTCCTCATGAGAGCCACATGACACAGTCTCCTGAAGTACAGGCAGAAGCTCTCAGTGCAGTCAGTGATTGTTACGGGACGTCTCTCACCCGAGCAGAGACCGCAGCACCTTCAGCGAGTCTGTGACCGGCTCCAGGAAGATGGCCATCCGCTTGAAGCAGATCACCATGTTCAGCAGGTCAAAGGTCAGCGCTCTGGGGCTGCTGTCTATGGAGGACGCGTCTTTAGCGGGCAGCTGGGTCAGTTCGGCCCGGTCGCCGCTCGCCTGTGTGGGGTCCTGAGGAGAAGAGGCTGTGCACTGCATGCTGGGAAATCAGAGGTCATGACTGCGAGGGACTGTGATTATCTCTATAAACATGTGACAATTAAGACTCACATCTGTTAAACCTGATGCCTGACAGTCTGTTTAAAAGCTTTAACGGTTTAATCAGAGTTAATAAGCAATGTCAAATCCAGCAGACTTTTATAACAAAGCATCCTGATATATATAAACATATGAACGAATTTAAGAGTCAATTCAACGGATGCTAAACGTACTTTATAAACACACATGATGACCATTTTTACAATGAGAATACATTAAATTCTTAGTTATGAAAGTGAAAAACGAATATAAATAAAGCTTAAAACAGTCATATAAACATCAACCTATATAAAAAAGCTATGTCACATCATCGATGTTTTTGATAAAACAGATAGGTTTTGTCTGTCTATTGCTTAATCTACTAGTGACATTTCTACAAAATGACTTTAATTCCTAAAGAAAGTAATTTTCATTCAGAAAAAAGATACTATGTTGATTGTTTTTGTGGCTCAATTATCATTATTTGACTGTATCAGGAAATCTTGCCCTTTTCTGTCATTTGATCAATAGTTAATCCATAAGATCGCTTGTAAATGTATACAAACATTTGTTAACTGAGGCACTAAACTTTACTTATAAAATTAATAACACTTGTGATGATACAAATTAAATGTAGTTTTGCGTGTTAATCATAACCATTGGCTTTTCACACACCACTTTCATGAAGACAGGAAAAAAATTATGTGAAAATGGCAAATGTGTCATAAATGATCTTCAAGTCCTCACCCGATGAGCAAATCTGAGAATGACATTTGACAGTTATTAAAAATTGATTTAATATTTCTTTATAACAAAGCACATAGTCAAAATAGAGAATCAAATGAAATATAGTCTAAACACTGATCTTCCTTTTGCATCATATTGGTATATGCACATCATATTGTACAGTATAGATCATATTCATTTTATCATATTATACAGCATAAAATGTACATACGTATTTTGTGATATTTAGATGTATTGAAAAGTTGCATATACATCAAGGACAACATATTTCATATTAAATATTATAATCAGTTGATGCAGTAATAGGTCTAATATGGCAGTGAAAGATCCTAAAACAACCAACAAGTAAAATATGCTTATCTAATTTAAGTGACGTGACATGTGGCCAAGTATGGTTACCCATACTAGGAATTAGTGCTCTGCATTTAACCCATCCAAAGTGCACACACACAGCAGTGAACACACACCCGGAGCAGTGGGCAGCCATTTATGCTGCGGCGCCCAGGGAGCAGTTGGGGGTTCGGTGCCTTGCTCAAGGGCACCTCAGTCGTGGTATTGAAGGTGGAAGAGAGCACTGTACATTCACTCCCCCCACCTACAATCCCTGCTGGTACAATACTCGAATCTGCAACCTTTGGGTAACAAGTCCGACTCTCTAACCATTAGGCCACGACTTCCCCACGAGGGAAAGTTTAAAGACTTCCCCACTTTAACAAGGCAACTAAAGTAATTACGAATAAAGCATTTACTTATAAGAAATTATATCCTTAGCATCACTACGCTGAACAGCTTTTTAGATGATCATTTAATGAATCGACAGCCTATCTGCTAATCTTCAACATGTTTTACACTAAACAATACTTTTGGATTGAACTATTTTTAGAGTTTACACCGAAAAAATAAGAGTTTTATAAGAGAAGTCACTGACGTTTTGCGACAGATGGGATACAGCTTACGGCATTTCCCATTCATTCCTATGGTATCTGTAAATGGTATACTTATGGTATCTCTGACTGAAATTCAATGACATCAAGGCTGTAATGTGATTGGTTATTAAGGCACACGTGATCCAAGTAAGCCGTTACGCTTTCTCCAAAAGTAAGTAATACAGACCCTCTCATCTCCCTATAGTAAAATGATCTCTGCTCTTGTTCTGAGTGAAAGCTGAATTCTTCCTCACTGTTCAGAATCATCTGGAGAGCTCATGTGTGTGAAGCAATAGAAATTTTAATAGAAATTTTTTTTTTCATTTTGTGACATTCTCCAGACGAAAAAAAAAGTTCAAAGATAAATGAAAAGCAGAAAAAGCATCCTGTTTTTTTCTGTATTTTCAAGAGTACATTTACTGTCTTTGTGAGTGGATAATAATAAAAGCAGAAACTTTACCATTTCAAATGATGTCTTGCTCTAATCTGTACACACATTAATGGAGTATTTTACGTTCTCCTCATGAAATCAAGTCCAGGAACTCTAACAAAAACAGATTCCATACAACAAAACCATAAAACTCATCTGGAGAAGAGATCTCCAAAGAGAGTAAATGACACCACCCTGACCAAACTTATCTACCTGTTCATTTATGACCCCCTTCTCCCCTCTCATTCTTCTCCCCCAAAAGCCTTCACTGAAAGTTCCCTAAGACCACATTTGTGACCCTGGAGCACAAAACCAGTCATAAGTAGCACGGGGATATTTGTAGCAGTAGCCAACAATACATTGTATGGGTCAAAATTATAGATTTTTCTTTTATGGCAAAAATCATTAGGACATTAAGTAAAGATCATGTTCCATGAAGATATTTAGTAAATTTCCAACTGCAAATATATCGAAAGTTAATTTTTGATTAGTAATATGCATTGCTAAGAACTTAATTTGGACAACTTTAAAGATGATTTTCTCAATATTTAGATTTTTTTGCACCCTCAGATTCCAGATTTTCAAATAGTTGTATCTCGGCCAA